GAGTTGGGAGGTAGATGTTGACCGTCTTCTGCAAGCGAAAGGCTCCCGGGGCTTCGCTAACTTGATGCAAACCTCACAGAAGATACAAAAGATCAAAAACGGGACCGGAGTCTGCACCGGCTGACAAGGTAGACTGTGGTAGCGGTCTTGATGCCCACGTATCTGATGATCTAGACCACCAGACATGCCTTCCACCAGGTCGGGTCGCGGAGAGCCAGTCCATGCAGGACTCGCAGGCGGCTGCTCGTATTCCCCCGAGTGACCGGAATACGGTTCAGCTGTCTCCTCTCGAGACTAGTTTGAACGTATCGTCATCTAGGGGGAGGACTCGCAGCACGTTGGAATCCGTCGAGATGGAGGACATCACGAATAAGGTCTGGAGCAGCCCTCTTGATCAGGCGGACGAATTTTGTGCTTCATTGCCATCCGGATCACCCTCGTTGACCCCTCGATTTCTGGGAATAGCTGGCCGGACCGCAGCCAAACAGGCGACAAGATCCCACTACCGCGTCGTCTACGCGGGTGAGACCGTCAACCACTCGGGCCTTTCACCCATGACCGGCCACGGACGCTTCCACTCGGAACGACCACCTGCATCGAAGCTGCCTACAGTATACCAAAGTCGATCATATCCCTCGTCAAGTTTACCCAGCCCAAGCTGGATTGAGAGAAGCATTGTCAGCGACGAGGATGGCATCGGCCCCTTTAGTGACCTCCCTCCCGAGGAGGAGTTCTACCTGAGATCCATGAAGAAGGTCCTGTTCTTCCCTCCGAACGGCATCATGAACACCTACATGATGGCCTTCCTCGACCACGTGCTGCCGGAGTTCCCAGTCGTCGACCGGTTCAAGCTGGCGAGTATCTATGATTCCTTCCTCGGCGGCGTCGCCCTGTCACCCTTGCTGTTCCACGCCATCCTTTTTTGCGCCTCCCAGTATGTCGACAATGACACCCTGAAGCAAACCGGCTTCGACACGCGGATGAGCGCCAAAGAGTATTTCTACCGGCGGGCTGCCATGTTGTACTTTCTCGACTGTGAACAGGACCAGCTGCTCGTGATCCAGGCCGTCATCTTCATCAGTCCATGGTGGTCCGACTACAACGAAGACAAAGACACGCGATACTGGATCTCGTGCGCCTGCAACCTGGCGCAGGCCATGGGTATGCATGCCACCATGTCCAAATGGACGCAAATCTCCCCTGACGAGAGATCCCTCTGGCGGAGGATTCTCTGGACCCTTTTTGTAAGTGACAAGCTCCTGGGAAGGATTCAATCAGCACGTCACATTCAAGAGCCGGTTGCTAATAGGCAACCACAGTCACGAGAACACAACGTCGCCATCGGCGTTGGGACGCCTTTCCTGCTGAGGCGCGATGATATCAACGTGGAACCCCTGACCGTAAACGATTTCTACGAGTTCTTGGACTCAACTCCAGTCGAATCGGCTGGCGGAAGCCCACCAGGCGTCATAGACTTCACTGCGTTTTCCCGTGTACACGTCTCGTTCGCGCTCGAGCTAGTTCGATTGTCGGTGATGAGTGAGTCCTTTACGCCCGTTTCGAGCCTGCTGCGTCCCGCGTTTTAACTTTGCTGTTTATAGTGGACCAGTTGGTTAAAATGGATTCCCCCAGTCTACAACACCAGACCAACGCGCTGGAGTTCTACGCCGAGTTCCAGAATCGACTGACACGGGAGTCGCCTCCGGTGCTGGTGAACCTCTGCGCGAATGTGCCGGGATTGAGAGAAAGTACCCGTGACAACGACACCGACGTGGAGGAAATGTGGCTCACGTTTCTGCGGATCAACTATGAGCGGATCCTCGCGCTGAACGCCCGGTACTTGTACAAGGCGATTTTGAGCGCCACGTCGTCCCCCCCTGGCGTCCCGTCAGAGGAGCAGGCGAGGATGCTGATCGTGCGCTCAGCGTCGAGAACCCTGAACATGTTTGAAGATTTGTTGGCGATGGGGTTCTTGAAGTACTCCCATGGGTTCATGTGAGTGTGGAGGGTTTAGCTGGCCAAAGACCGGTTGGATTTCAACACCAACGGTCGTCGACTAGCCTGCTTCCCCCCTTTCCTCCTTTCCTCCCTTCCTACCCAAACTGGAATCCATCATCAAACCCTTGACCGGACCAGCTCGACGGCTGACGAAACACGACGGACAGGAATACCGCCATCATCAACTCGATGATCACAATGGCCGAAGAAATCAAACTGGCCCCGGAGGACAGCCAGCGGTACAAAACGGCCGAAAACAAGTTCGCGCTGGGCATGATGATCCTCGAAGAGATGCGCAAATACTGGCCGCCGCCACTGTGGGCATACTCGCTGTTCAGCCATCTCAGCCAGGATCACTTTTCCCGGCTGAAGCAACTACTCCCGCAAAGGCCGTCATCCTCGTCGCCTCCTCCCCTTTCTTCTTCTTCCAACGCCGATCGTCGAGATATCGACACCGCCCGAGACAAGGCCGCCCCGTGCGAGCCATGTTGGCCTGGTCAGACGATCGACAATTTCTGGTGGGACGACCTGTTCTCGCTGGAAAGTCGCGGTCAGCAGCAGCAGCAGCAGGATGCGGCGCTGTGGCTCCAGTGCGATTTTGCAGAGCTGCGCAATTCACTGGGGTGAAACCACCCACACGGCTTTCTTGGAACTTGTAGAGATTAGATACCTTTCAATCACATTAAATAAATTACCTTGGCCCTCGCACCGTAACCACGATGGTGTGTCTCGGGCATATGAAACTTTCAAGTGTTCTCATCTCATGGGTTGTTGCCGACTGTCTACTCGGTACTCTAAATGAGCTCGAGCATCGATGAATTTTGTGTACTTGTAGCAAGCGGGGGAATTGGAACCATGTTACCATGTGTCTCGCCGAGACGCTCAGACCAAGGCGGGTTACAGTTTGGCAATAACTCGCCCACATTATTTTGAACTACGTACGTAGCCTGACTCTGTGGAGCATGGGTGTTTTGTATTGAACAATACAACCACCACCGATTCTTCCCGTGCACTTTTTTGAAGCCTCCGCTCCCCGCGTCACAACACCAAGTCCCTTCACCCAGCTCATGGGTATGAGACGCCGCTAGGCTGCAGCACCTCCATCCACGCTGAGCACCGCTCCCGTGATGAACGAGGCGTCGTCACTGAGCAAGAAGGCGACGGCTTGGGCCTGTTCTTCCGGCTGGGCCATTCTCCCGAGAGGAAGGCTGGAATACGTGTTGAGCGTGCTGCTGGAGGTCGTGGTCGTCGGCCCTTTCAGCAATGCGTCAAGCATCGGTGTTTCGGTTGGGCCTCTGGTGCAATCGATCACGAATTAGCCATTAGCAAAAAGGAGTGAAACTCGGATATAATCACAAATGTGTACTCTAATAAAGGGTGTCGCGAAGGGGGGGATGGAAATAGTAATTGACGTACGGGGCAATGGCATTGACTCTAATGCCCTTGACACCGGCCTCTCGTGCCGCTGTCTTGGTCAAGCCCACCACCGCATGCTTAGAAGCGACATATGCGCCCAGTCCAGTACGGCCTCGGATCCCAGACAAGGACGCCACGTTGACGATGCTTCCTCCGCGGCCCAAGGCTTTCAACTCGGCCCTCAGACAGTAGAACGTCCCCGTGGCGTTCACGCCCATGATCTTGTCCCACGTGGCATTGTCGGTGTCTTCGAGGTTGACGAACCCGCCACCCCAGCCGGCGACATTGGCCGCGCCGTCGACCTTGCCGAAATGCTTCACGGTCGACGCGATCCAGTTCTGCACATCCACGTCCGAAGTCACGTTGAGGACGGTGCCGACGGCCTCGACGCCTCGCTTCTTCAGGTCCTCGACGAGTTCTTTCAACGGCCGTTCTGCAATGTCAGCCAGTGCCAACTTTGCGCCCCGGGATGCTACGAGATTGGTGACGGCGAGTCCTATCCCTGACGCGGCTCCCGTCACGGCGATGACTTTTCCTTCCAACGCCATGATTTCACGAGCAAGGGCAGGATGCGCCAAAAACTATAGCGGGTGCTGAATGAAGAAAGCACCAAATGTTGGTGCACCAGATGTATATTATATCTGGACGTCCGTTTGTAGAAGTGACAGCCACTGGCGCCCAGGGTAAAGAGGTCGTCTTTGGCGGTTCTAGCAGATCGTGCAGGACGGCCGCAAGTTGACACCAGAAGCATGCACTTTATCTGTCGACTCTGGGCCTTTCAAGGCATGCGGGGTCCGGCACAGAGCTCGGTTGATACATTGTTGGCTTAACTCGGCGAGCACTCGAACCCCAGGTCTTCTTGGTGGCCCTTCCCACCACTTGACATCCTTTCCGCAGCACTCAAGCAAGATTTGTTGTTGAGTTCAAAGGGTGGACAACAAAAGCAGTCGATGTATTCTTGCCGTCAGAGTGTGCAGACTTCTATTTCGAGAAGCTGGCATAATAGAACCCGAACTTCCATAAATAGCTAGCTCTCCTGGCTTTCGACTTTGACCCGCATTTGGCCGAACTAGCTTGGGCCGACAGCTAGTCCAACCATCATACGCCCGCCCTGCGTTCTCCGTACTGTTTCAGCTGTCCGTGGCACGGTGCTTCGGGGATATCCCAGCCAGGAGTGCAAGTTGGGAAACTCTTTGGAATATCCAAGGTGACGAGGGTGTCGGCAAAGAGACAGCCATGTACGTAGGAATTTTGCAGTTCATATCGGCTCTTGCTGAACCTCGCGAGTCTTGGCATCACGTGAGTCGACTCTCCGGGCCAACTACACCAAGTGCCCAAGCGCATGAACGCAACACTACCCTCGACCTTTGACCAGCACTTGTTGAAATCCCTCCGACTCTCTCAGGAATGTAAGGCTGTATGCTCGGCAGCTGCTCTTCCTTTAGCAGCCGCACATATGGCACGATCACCTCGCGCCTTCTCCGGAATGTAACCGCATCACGACGCCCATCCTCTCCCATCCCAGGATGTGGCCGAAGAGAGCACGCAGAGCAGTCACTCGTCTCGCTGAGGAGACGGTCCACCAGATGGCTCCATCACTCCCCGTCGGTCCGTGAGAAGAACGCACCGCCCTCTCTCTCCTCACCACCGAGATCCTCGCTCCTGGACTCTTCCTCCCCACACAACTCTCTAGAATCCTTCCACGCCTACGCGGCCCGCACCGGTCTGTCGCGATCCAGCACCGTCTACACTGGCACCACGTACGAATACCTCGCACAGTCCACCCTCCGACCCTATGGGTTTGAGCTGCATCGAGTGGGCGGCAGAGGGGATCGCGGCGTCGATCTCGTAGGTGTCTGGGAGATACCCATCTTGTCGCACACCGGCGAATGGAAAGAGACGAGGCATAACACAAAAAGTCGAGCATATAATCATGCGGGGTCCGAAGAGTTTGAGGGTGTAGAGACCTTGCAGCTCAAGGTGCTGGTCCAATGTAAACGCCTGTCGGGGAGGCATGCTAGGATTGGGCCGAATCTGGTCAGAGAATTGGACGGGGCTGTCAGAGCGAGTAGAAGTGCAGCCTTTGTTGACATGATCTTCCCTCAGAACACGGCGGCGGGCACGGCCACAGATGAGGGGAGCAGCAACCTCGGGGAAGAACCCCAACAGTCGAACCTGGGGATGGGACAGGCCATCGGCGTGCTGGTGGGCACCAGGCCAGCGACCAAAGGCGTGGTGGACGGTATGAGCCGGTCGACTCGTGGATTAGTCTGGATCATGATGGAAGAAGCCACGGATCAAGAAACGGGGCCGAGGGTTGAACCACAACTCACAGACCAAAGCGAGTCTCTTTCCCCAGACACAACCGACCCCACTACCGCTCTAAAGGGCCGCGTCAAGCAAATCCTCTGGAACCACGCTGCCCGCGGTGCAGGACTAGAGGGCGTCGACGTGGTAAAGCGTTACGCCTCGGACGGTGCCGAAGAGGTGGTACTGATGCGAGGCGGGCGAGTCTGGGGCGGCAGTCCAAGACAGAAATGAGCCATCGACTTTTGTGAGTTTTTCATTGTAAATAAAATAAACACCCGGGCAAAATGCAAGTAAATCGGGGCAATATCAGCTCTGGTATCGTACATTGCCTTTGCCTTCCCTTTCCCCTTTCCACATCTCCCCCCTCTCCCTGCCCCATGAGTATCTGGCATATGTGCACTGTGCTGCCTCAACACAAGGAAAAGCAACGACGACGATAGTTGGGTATCAAAGCCCCTGTTGGAAAAAGCTCACATCACACAAAAGATCTATTTCTCCTTGCCTGTCCATCCGAGGTGCGTCAGTCAGATAGATGCCCTCTTTATTTGACCCTCTCTGAGCTGTCCGGTAGCTGGTCAAGCACGCACGATCACGCAGCAAGAACGCTCACATCTCCTTCCGCTCTCCGGTCCTGGTTATTCCTGTTCCCGCATTGGTGTGTTCTAGATGCACGCCGCAGGCCAGCCCGAGATCAATGCCAGCGTCTACCACACGGCCCCTTATCGTCAAACAAAGGAAAATGTTTTAAAAGGTCGATTGTGCTGTATGAATTTACAGCTTGGCCTTGGGCGTCTCCATGCTGGGTAGGAGCATGTCTCTGATGTCGCTGGCCGCTTCGTTGAGGTAGAAACTCATCCGTTCACAGCCGAGTTTCTTGGAGACAATGTTGAATTGTAAACTAAACAGGCTGTCAGAACAATGCGCTACTAGCAAGAAATGTAGTGCATGGCGAAATACGAAGGGTGGAAGGGCAGTAGAGGTTAGAAAGTAAACATACCTGTTCTCATTGATCATATAAGCAATGCCCCAGCCTTGGTCCACAACTTGACTCCAGCCGTAACCGTTGAAGTACTCGGAACTCAGCTGACTGCTCGAAATGTACCAAGTGCTCGAGTAGGTGTATGCGGGATCAGTAAACACCTCAGGTGTCTCCTCGCCGGGTTGGATGAGCTTCTTCAGACCGAACAGATGACGGTCCACGCCATAGCCGTCGCTTGCATCAGCCGTATATTGCACGTGCGCTTGAACAGCAGCGCGGAAGAGACGTTCGGTTTCTTCGCGGGAGACAGAGGGGTCGGCCATGGCGTTGCAGAAAGCCACACTCTCGTCCGAGACTGTGCGAGTGGTTTCTGTTCGACCCAGCTGGTACTTTCGCGTGGCGGCAGATTCGTATGTGGGTCGGTTCTTGCCGTACATCTTGTGATAGGCCAGCTGGATGACCATCTGCACGTATGCATCGGGGGAGCACTTGAACTTCTTGATCAGTCCCTTGCCGTATCCTTGGTATGCCTGGACGCGGAGGTCGTGGGCACCAATGACTTGACGGAACTGCGACTGTGCGGCGGCCAGATCGTCAAGCACAGCTGCGGAGGTTTCAAATTTCAAGGCAACAGGGTCGGGCAGGTCGGAGCGGACGGATGGGTTGTCGAAGTCGAGTTTATTGTGAGTGATGAGGGCATTCACTGTATCGCAGAGACGGTGAGTCGGGGTACCATCCATCATGGAATGTTCACCCATGAAGCCGGCGGTGCCGTTATCGTTGATGATGAATTGGATCGGCTTGTCGTACCATCGGTTCGAGCCGTCGCCGTGCCAATAAACGTGAGCGCGCTCTTCAAGGGTGACGGGAGCGCTGGAGTCCAGGCACACGATGAACGACGAAGACTCGATCTCTTTGAGGACCTCGGCGTTCAAAGGAGACGCGGACAGAAGGTTTTGGCGGGCAGTGGCGCCTTGGTCGCGGGGGAAAGACGTAATGGCACCAACGGGGTCGGCCAGCTGGGCATTCTTGTAGACCTTGTTGAATTGAAGCTCGAGCTCAGAGGTGTTGAGCTGTCTGCCCGAAACATGGGTCTGAACCTTCCAGAACTGGTTGTTGCGCATGACTATGATGTGCTCGTTGCCCTCGGCAGGGTATTGAATAGGATAATCCACGGGAAGGGCGGCGACGCGGGAGGTGTTGAACATGTACTCGTAGCTGCTCATGGCCATGGGCTTCTTGCGCATATACTCGGGTTCCAGAGTCTTGTCATCGACCTGTCTCTTGAACTCCAAGGCCGCGGTCGTGATGGCAGCGGCACGTTTCGCAGGGTTTCTTCTCCGACGGTCGTCGCGGAATGAGTAGAAGTACGAGACGTACGGCACCACCGGATCACGATAGCCCAAGTACGCAGACTCGTTCCACCAGTCAATTATCCAGTTCTTGACGTTGGGGTCTTTTGCTTTTGCTATTAACCTCTCTTGTAGCTTCTGGCCGATGCCTCCTGGTTTGTTCAGTGCAGCGACAGCCTTTTCCGAGGCAGCATACTCCTCTTTGGTCAGGAGAGGGTGCAGGCTCTTCAGGTACCGGGCGGAGGTTTCTTCGAGGGGAGGAACTGGTAGTCTGGGTAGGGAATCTTCGAAACGAAGCATTGGACCTTTAGAGAGGTCTTCTCGGTACTCTGTAGCCATCCGCTCCTGTTAGACATGCTCTTTCGCAAGAAGTTCCAATAAATCAGACTCACCCTCGGTCACCCAGAACTGAGCCTTACTCGAGGCCTTCCGCTTGTTTGTAGGAGCCATGGCGAGCGACTGTCACTCTGTCAGTTTCCCCCACCTGACGTCAACTGGCATTGAAAGATGATCCGTTACCTTGAGAGCAGCTGAAGTGGGAGAGGCACGAGAAATGGCACGTAGGGTCGTCTGTGCTCCTAGTCGAGGCAGTGTGGGAAACATCCCCAAGAATACCAGGTCAAGAAAGTGTAAATTGTAAGGAGGGACACAGAACTGGTATAGAAAAAAAAGTCTATGGCTGGATAGAGCGAGCGATAGAAGGTGACGCGACAGCTTTTAGATCGGAGGGGATTCGGCGAGCATTGGACGAGAGATGCAGGGCGAAGGCACACGAGGCGAGAAAAAAGATGAATTGCCGCGGCGAAAGCCAGAAGGGACAAGATAGTGTGTTGTGCTTGGAGGTTGCGAAGGGAGAGACCGAGCACCGCCCACGAACTGCCAACTGCGACTTGCGGAACAGAGGGTGCATCCACCAGTTCCACGTCCGGTGAGCCGAGGCACATCGCTCCAACCCGCCGCCATTTGTTTCTTTTGTGCCTTGGGAATAAAATCAAACTGCGTCACTCGGACAATCATCGGTAACCGGCCAGATGGGAAAACTCGGAGACCAACAGCCACAGTAACACAAAAATAATGCAAACACCACGATAGGCACGCATGAGATGTGGAGGCCCCATGTCCTTGTCCCTCGTCTGGATCTCCCTCTTGGTGCCTTGTCCCTTTGATCCGCTCCATTGATATAGGACGCTTCTCTCAACCTGTAGGCAGTAATCCAACCTCTTTCTAGTACTCCGTTACGAATCTGTGCAACGCCACCCCTAGACTGGCTGCCCCTGCGCCTTCATCGTCTCCCTCACACCATGGTTGCAGCGTGTCTAAACTGCATAGATGTCGCATCGTTGGGCGTCCATGCGGGCAGTTCCAGGGTTTATCGATTGTGCCCATGTTTGCCACCACCTTTTGCATCTGCCGCTTGGACAGTGTCTTGCCGATCATAATGCTCGATCGACATGCTCGCATAGCGAACATCTTTCTGACTTTGCTGGGTCGAGGAATATCGGAAGAACCGCCCATAGGTGTATCGGCCAAAAGCTGAATGAGTTCCTCTAGGTCTTTCATACCAAAGACCACCTCTTTGCTGAGTGGGAGGCTGACAAGGCGGCAACGTTGTCCAACCATCTTGTCGCCGCTGGTGTCGATCTCGACGAGAAAACCGTTCTTCTCCAGAGCTTCGTTGTTCTCCAGGACGATTTCTTCTTCCACCGCCGTCAAGTCGAGTATCACTGGTCGCACGAGCCTTTGGTTGCCCACAATAGTCTCGGCTTGCAGCCTTTCAAAGTTGTATTTCTCATCTGACGCATGTTGGTCGATAATGAACAGTTCATCCTGTGTTACTTGGGTCTTCGTAACCGCAGACTTCTTAGCCGGTCGCACACCCAGAATGAAGCCTAGATTGAATTGTCCGACAATCCTCATTTGTGCAAAATCTGGCTTCGATACGGTCAGTGAGAGCCTTGTTTCCGGGTCTTCCACATCATTGTCTTTTCCATCAACTTGCGAAGATCGACGGCTCATACTGGAATCCACTGGTCTAACATACTGACGCATTTGACTGGATATGCTTGAGATGGAAAACTCAATAGTTGCTAATAAATTCGTGGTAGACTCCTTGGCTCGTCCTCCTGCCAGGGCTTTCATTTCTCGTTTCAAGTTCTCTTTGGTCGGAACGGTCGAGCTTGCTTCAGCTGCCTGAATAAGCTCAGCGACTTTGGCTTCTTCAATCCTTTTCTTCTCCTCGTCGTCAATATAGTCTGCGTCGGACTCTCCTTCCGTGTCTGGTGCCGCTTCTAACTCGTCCTCGGCCAAATCTTCATTCCCCACGCTCTGCTGGTCCAGATCGGATTCGTGCTCCGCGGGAAAATCTTCAGTCGTCTCGCTATCAGCGTCGACCAATTCCGCGTCAGACTGCGCATCCGAGTCACCCTCTTCCTCATCCGGAATGTTGGACCCTTGCGCACCAAATCTGCGCAACTTCTGAGAGAATTGAAAGGCTCCTGGGCTTTTGGTGCGCCTCTGTGGGCTGATTGCACTCCTCAGGCTGCCAGGGATGTCACGCTTCTCGAGCGATTTAGGAGATTGACTCCCTAATACTGTGGTAAAAGTCTTGTCTCCGATGGTGAAAGTGGCGATTTCTTCTGACAGCCTCTTTGGCCTCATGCGGTCAAAAGCATTCTGTACGGGTCCTTTTTCTAGACCTGTTTTTGCTGGCACCATAGCTTTGATCTCTTCTGTTTGCCGTCCATCGTCCTGGCGTATAGTTGCCTGATAGTTCAACCTAAGTTGGGCTTCGGCCATTCTCGCGTTGAAATCACTGACATGCAACTTGACTGGATCGAACTGCGATGCCTCTTCCTCTTCCTCAGACTGCTGCAATATTTCCTCCGTCTCAATCACTTCCT